GGGTTCGAGTCCCGCCGGAGGTTATTATTTTTCTGGTGGTTTTATAAGCAGACGCGGAGAACGTCTATACAGACATTCAACACCAATTCAATTGGAACTAATTCAGTTTTGCAATACGAAGGATAGAAAAACTTTGTGTTTTTATTAATGTAAACTTTATTTCTTTCACAACAATATTGAAACAAGGTATCAACTTCTACTTATCACTCTTGTTGTCCCGGTTGTAAGCGTGAAATATATAATAATACTTTAGTTTCAATAGTCGGTATTACTTGCATGTCCGTAAAACATATTGTCTTATTTATAAATAATTATAATTAAATAACCTACATGATTTGAGGATCCCTTGATGAGTCGAGTATCTCAGAATACATTTAGCATGTTTCTCTCTCTCTTATTCAAAGCTCATCTTCATATACATTTTGTAGCGTTTGTCGAGTTTGTGCCACATCCTCAATACTTTTATTAAGTCTCCAAGCTGTTTACCAAATACCATCAGAACCTCCTTTATTAAAATCCTCTTGTAATGTTCGTAATACAGAGAGAGGAGGCGGATACAGTGTGGTTTGATCATGATGGACACCGAATGGTTTCTCTAGATTTTCCATAACCTCTTCAAACGTAACCTTGTATTCGGTTGGACTATTTATTGTAAGGTCGATATCCATGAATGTATTGTCGTCTCTTTGAGGAGTGAACCAAGGAATTACATTTGTATGACTGCATGCTGGACTTGACCTTCCTACAGAGTCCACATATTCATATGGCGCATCAATGGCAAGAAGTCTTGTGTAATGTTTCTGTCGTTGTCTATACCTTACACGATACTAATTGTAAGTTAATATTTTTGATGATAAACGATGACGATTTTATTCGGTGTCGGATTGTTCACCTGTTTACTAATATCATTGACAACATTGGACGTTTCGCTATTCAGTTGCTCGAAGTTTCTTGTATCCCAAAGTGGAGAGTAATAACCAGAAGGATATCCGATAGATGATTTCACAGAAGACGTTGAACACGTGGCTCCGTGGCCCAATGGATAAGGCACCGGCCTCCTAAGCCGGGGATTGCGGGTTCGAGTCCCGCCGGAGGTTATTATATTTTTGTCATGGATTTGTTAGCGGAGGCGAATCAACTGAAGTTATATCTACTTTTTACAACATAATGTAAAGGGAAACATACTTACCATGAAATATCGAATAATAGTAAAGTGTTATTAGACGGGATTACTTTCAAGTCAATAAAGTGCAAGCCATTTCAAGCTGGACAATATTTGTAAGGGTAGGTAGAGCAAGAACATGCTGAAGGTTCAGCCGTTGTAGCGTTTGTCGAACTTGTGTAACATACTCAATTATTTTATTAAGTCTCTAAGCTGTTTAGAAATATCATCGGAACTCTTTCAGTAAAATCCTCCTGTCATGTTCGTAATATAGAGAGAGGAACGTCTTCAAACGTAACATTATATTTGGATTGACTATTGTAATGTCGATATCCATGAATGTATTGTCGTCTCTTTGAGGAGTGAACAAAGACATCATATTTGTATGACTGCATGCTGGTCTTGATCTCCCTACAGAGCCCCACATCCATATGACGCACCAATAGTAAGAAGTCTCCAAGCTTGTTACCAAATCTCACCACATCGGAACTCTTTGATAGAATCCTGTGGAAATGTTCGGAATACTGGGACGGAAAGAGAATACAGTGTGGTTCAAACACGGTAGTCACCCAATGCTTATTTCATTCCGTGTTGTAATTGCCATTCTGTTTACCAGCATATTCCATACCATATATATCATACTCCATACCATTGACAACACGGGAAACTTTGCAATAAACTGATGAAGTGGCTTAAAGTTTCTTAATAACCTTACCAAAGAGTAGTATATTTCTCAGGAAACATCGACCATGTGCCTCCGTGGCCCAATGGATAAGGCACCGGCCTCCTAAGCCGGGGATTGCGGGTTCGAGTCCCGCCGGAGGTTATTATATTTCTGTCCTGGATTTGTTAGCGGAGGCGAAGAACCAGAGCGCCTTCAACGCCAAATCAACTGAAGTTATATCTAATTTTTACAACATAATGTAAAGGGAAACATACTTACTATGAAATATCGAATAATAGTAAAGTGTTATTAGACGGGATTACTTGCAAGTCAATAAAGTGCAAGTCATTTCCTGCTGGAAAATATTTGTAAGGGAAGGTAGAGCAAGAACATGCTGAAGGTTCAGTCGTTGTAGCGTTTGTCGAACTTGTGTCACATCCTCAATTATTTTATTAAGTCTCTAAGCTGTTTAGAAAATATCATCGGAACTGTTTCAGTAAAATCCTCTTGTCATGTTCGTAATATAGAGAGAGGAACGTCTTCAAACGTAACATTATATTTGGATTGACTATTGTAATGTCGATATCCATGAATGTATTGTCGTCTCTTTGAGGAGTGAACAAAGACATCACATTTGTATGACTGCATGCTGGTCTTGATCTTCCTACAGAGCCCCACATCCATATGACGCACCAATAGTAAGAAGTCTCCAAGCTTGTTACCAAATCTCACCACATCGGAACTCTTTGATAGAATCCTGTGGAAATGTTCGGAATACTGGGACGGAAAGAGAATACAGTGTGGTTCAAACACGGTAGTCACCCAATGATTATTTCATTCCGTGTTGTAATTGCCATTCTGTTTACCAGCATATACCATACCATATATATCATACTCCATACCATAGACAACACGGGAAACTTTGCAATGAACTGATGAAGTGGCTTAAAGTTTCTTAATAACCTTACCAAAGAGGAGTATATTTCCCAGAAAACACCGACCATGTGCCTCCGTGGCCCAATGGATAAGGCACCGGCCTCCTAAGCCGGGGATTGCGGGTTCGAGTCCCGCCGGAGGTTATTATTTTTCTGGTGGTGTTATAAGCAGACGTGAAGAACGTCTATACAGACATTCAACACCAATTCAATTGGAACTAATTCAGTTTTGCAATACGAAGGATAGAAAAACGTAGTGTTTTTTTTAATGTAAACTTTATTTTTTTCACAACAATATTGAAACAAGGTATCAACTTCTACTTATCACACTGGTTGTCCCGGTTGTAAGCGTGAATTATATAATAATACTTTAGTTTCAATATTCGGTATTACTTGCATGTCCGTAAAACCATATTGTCTCATTTATAAATAATTATAATTAAATATTCTACATGATTTGAGGATCCCTTGATGAGTCGAGTATCTCAGAATACATTTAGCATGTTTCTCTCTCTTATTCAAAGCTCATGTTCATATACATCTTGTAGCGTTTGTCGAATTTGTGCCACATCCTCAATACTTTTATTAAGTCTCCAAGCTGTTTACCAAATATCATCAGAAACTCCTTTAGTAAAATCCTCTTGTAATGTTCGTTATACAGAGAGAGGAGGCGGATACAGTGTGGTTTGAACATGATGGACACCGAATGGTTTCTCTAGATTTTCCATAACCTCTTCAAACGTAACCTTGTATTCGGTTGGACTATTTATTGTAAGGTCGATATCCATGAATGTATTGTCGTCTCTTTGAGGAGTGAACAAAGACATGCTGGACTTGATCTTCCTACAGAGCCCCACATCCATATGACGCACCAATAGTAAGAAGTCTCCAAGCTTGTTACCAAATCTCACCACATCGGAACTCTTGGATAGAATCCTGTGGAATTGTTCGGAATACTGGGACGGAAAGAGAATACAGTGTGGTTCAAACACGGGAGTCACCCAATGATTATTTCATTCCGTGTTGTAATTGCCATTCTGTTTACTAGCATATACCATACCATATATACCATACTCCATACCATAGACAACACGGGAAACTTTGCAATGAACTGATGAAGTGGCTTAAAGTTTCTTAATAACCTTACCAAAGAGGAGTATATTTCCCAGAAAACACCGACCATGTGCCTCCGTGGCCCAATGGATAAGGCACCGGCCTCCTAAGACGGGGATTGCGGGTTCGAGTCCCGCCGGAGGTTATTATTTTTCTGGTGGTGTTATAAGCAGACGTGAAGAACGTCTATACAGACATTCAACACCAATTCAATTGGAACTAATTCAGTTTTGCAATACGAAGGATAGAAAAACGTAGTGTTTTTTTTAATGTAAACTATATTTTTTTCACAACAATATTGAAACAAGGTATCAACTTCTACTTATCACACTGGTTGTCCCGGTTGTAAGCGTGAAATATATAATAATACTTTAGTTTCAATATTCGGTATTACTTGCATGTCCGTAAAACCATATTGTCTCATTTATAAATAATTATAATTAAATAACCTACATGATTTGAGGATCCCTTGATGAGTCGAGTATCTCAGAATACATTTAGCATGTTTCTCTCTCTTATTCAAAGCTCATGTTCATATACATCTTGTAGCGTTTGTCGAATTTGTGCCACATCCTCAATACTTTTATTAAGTCTCCAAGCTGTTTACCAAATATCATCAGAAACTCCTTTAGTAAAATCCTCTTGTAATGTTCGTTATACAGAGAGAGGAGGCGGATACAGTGTGGTTTGAACATGATGGACACCGAATGGTTTCTCTAGATTTACCATAACCTCTCCAAATGTAACCTTGTATTCGGTTGGACTATTTGTTGTAAGGTCGATATCAATGAATGTATTGTCGTCTCTTTGAGGAGTGAACAAAGACATGCTGGACTTGACCTTCCTACAGAGTCCACATATTTATATGGCGCATCAATGGCAAGAAGTCTTGTGTAATGTTTCTCTCGTTGTCTATACCTTACACGATACTAATTGTAAGTTAATATTTTTGATGATAAACGATGACGATTTTATTCGGTGTCGGATTGTTCACCTGTTTACTAATATCATTGACAACATTGGACGTTTCGCTATTCAGTTGCTCGAAGTTTCTTGTATCCCAAAGTGGAGTGAAATAACCAGAAGGATATCCGATAGATGATTTCACAGAAGACGTTGAACACGTGGCTCCGTGGCCCAATGGATAAGGCACCGGCCTCCTAAGCCGGGCATTGCGGGTTCGAGTCCCGCCGGATGTTATTATATTTTTGTCATGGATTTGTTAGCGGAGGCGAAGAACCAGAGCGCCTTCAACGCCAAATCAACTGAAGTTATAGCTACTTTTTACAACATAATGTAAAGGGAAACATACTTACTATGAAATATCGAATAATAGTAAAGTGTTATTAGACGGGATTACTTTCAAGTCAATAAAGTGCAAGCCATTTCAAGCTGGACAATATTTGTAAGGGTGGGTAGAGCAAGAACATGCTGAAGGTTCAGCCGTTGTGAACTTGTGTCACATCCTCAATTATTTTATTAAGTCTCTAAGCTGTTTAGAAAATATCATCGGAACTCTTTCAGTAAAATCCTCCTGTCATGTTCGTAATATAGAGAGAGGAACGTCTTCAAACGTAACATTTTATTTGGATTGACTATTGTAATGTCGATATCCATGAATGTATTGTCGTCTCTTTGAGGAGTGAACAAAGACATCACATTTGTATGACTGCATGCTGGTCTTGATCTTCCTACAGAGCCCCACATCCATATGACGCACCAATAGTAAGAAGTCTCCAAGCTTGTTACCAAATCTCACCACATCGGAACTCTTTGATAGAATCCTGTGGAAATGTTCGGAATGCTGGGACGGAAAGAGAATACAGTGTGGTTCAAACACGGTAGTCACCCAATGATTATTTCATTCCGTGTTGTAATTGCCATTCAGTTTACCAGCATATCCCATACCATATATATCATACTCCATACCATTGACAACACGGGAAACTTTGCAATGAACTGATGAAGTGGCTTAAAGTTTCTTAATAACCTTACCAAAGAGGAGTATATTTCACAGAAAACACCGACCATGTGCCTCCGTGGCCCAATGGGTAAGGCACCGGCCTCCTAAGCCGGGGATTGCGGGTTCGAGTCCCGCCGGAGGTTATTATTTTTCTGGTGGTGTTATAAGCAGAGGCGGAGAACGTCTATACAGACATTCAACACCAATTCAATTGGAACAAATTCAGTTTTGCAATACGAAGGATAGAAAAACTTGTTTTTTTTTTAATGTAAACTTTATTTCTTTCACAACAATATTGAAACAAGGTATCAACTTCTACTTATCACTCTTGTTGTCCCGGTTGTAAGCGCGAAATATATAATAATACTTTAGTTTTAATAGTCGGTATTACTTGCATGTCCGTAAAACCATATTGTCTCATTTATAAATAATTATAATTAAATAACCTACATGATTTGAAGATCCCTTGATGAGTCGAGTATCTCAGAATACATTTAGCATGTTTCTCTCTCTTATTCAAAGCTCATCTTCATATACATCTTGTAGCGTTTGTCGAATTTGTGCCACATCCTCAATACTTTTATTAAGTCTCCAAGCTGTTTACCAAATACCATCAGAAACTCCTTTAGTAAAATCCTCTTGTAATTTTCGTAATACAGAGAGAGGAGGCGGATACAGTGTGGTTTGAACATGATGGACACCGAATGGTTTCTCTACAAAGAACCGGAGCGCCTTCAACGCCAAATCAACTGAAGTTATATCTACTTTTTACAACATAATGTAAAGGGAAACATACTTACTATGAAATATCGAATAATAGTAAAGTGTTATAAGACGGGATTACTTGCAAGCAATAAAGTGCAAGCCATTTCAAGCTGGACAATATTTGTAAGGGTAGGTAGAGCAAGAACATGCTGAAGGTTCAGCCGTTGTAGCGTTTGTCGAACTTGTGTCACATCCTGAATTATTTTATAAAGTCTCTAAGCTGTTTACCAAATATCATCGCAACTCTTTCAGTAAAATCCTCCTGTCAAGTTCGTAATATATAGAGAGGGACGTCTTCAGATTTTCCATAACCTCTTCAAACGTAACCTTGTATTCGGTTGGACTATTTATTGTCAGGTCGATATCCATGAATGTATTGTCGTCTCTTTGAGGAGTGAACAAAGACATTACATTTGTATGACTGCATGCTGGACTTGACCTCCCTACAGAGTCCACATATTTATATGGCGCATCAATGGCAAGAAGTCTTGTGTAATGTTTCTCTCGTTGTCTATACCTTACACGATACTAATTGTAAGTTAATATTTTTGATGATAAACGATGACGATTTTATTCGGTGTCGGAATTGTTCACCTGTTTACTAATATCATTGACAACATTGGAGGTTTCGCTAATCAGTTGCTCGAAGTTTCTTGTATCCCAAAGTGGAGTGAAATAACCAGAAGGATATCCGATAGATGATTTCACAGAAGACTTTGAACACGTGCCTCCGTGGCCCAATGGATAAGGCACCGGCCTCCTAAGCCGGGGATTGCGGGTTCGAGTCCCGCCGGAGGTTGTTATATTTTTTCACGGTTTCTAAGCGGAGTGGAAGATCTAATATGCGTTCAACACCAACTCAATTGATTTATTTCTATTTTACAATATAACGCAGAGGGAAAAAACTAACGATAATAGGAGGTATTACATGCATCTCAATAAAACCCCTATAACTAATTAATTCGCGTCCGTGGCCTATTGGATTCGAACCGGCCTCATAACCCGGGGATAGCGGGTTCGAATCCCGCCGGAGTTTTCTTTTTTGCTGCAGATTTATAAGCAGAAGCGAAAAATACTGCAAAATCTTGTCTCATTTACAAATAGAGCGGACAGGTTAAATGCCACGATAAAGTATCTTTCCACGTTGTGGTCTGTATTTGTAATTTTAGCCTGTGCTTGGCGACATCTGCCAAACAGGGTTTTCATTTTCTTCGCCTGTTTTGTACCTTTCTTAATACCACTTTATTCAAAAGATAACTGCTTTAAAGCAAACACAGCACTGCACTTAAAACCAGTTAACCTATGTTGTACTGTGGTAAAGCTAATATTTGATTTATGCATTATACCGGTAAATATTTCTTTTGTAATTTCATAAATTTTATTGCAAGTAGCAATGATTGTTGCTATCTTAATGATGCAATTTCGTAAAATTTCGGTTAAGGAGCACAAGATTTCAAATCGACAACTCTTCACCATGTGCAAAACTTGACTTCTGTCTTTCGCCCGAATAAATCGAATATCTCTAGTACAGCTGGAAACCCATCGATGTGATACAAGTGTAACATGTAAAGTCAACGTAAATCCTACATCCTGTTGTTGCAAATCTTTACAGAAAATATATATATCGTAATCACACGGGATTTCGATTAGCAGAAAGTATTATTTCTTTATTTCCTCCAAATTGAAGAGTTACAAAAATGTACAGTGTAGTCAAAATACAAATCAAATATTATTAATTGATACTTAAATGCACATAAATACATCAGTTAACTACAGAGATGAAGAGAGAAGTTAATGAATCTTGTATTAGTTTAGTAAATACAGAAAGAATGGTCTCGTTAACAGCAAATCATACACAATAATTAGAATGCCTGGGAATCCTGAGATTTTTAAGGGTTGGGGAAAGCCCTACCAACAAGGTCCTCTCAGGCTTACCCACACATAAACACACACAAAATAAGAGAAAAAATAGTAATTAGGTAGACATTGCTATTGTACGTACATTTGTACGTGTTATTTCATTATCAATTATTATTGTGATCGGAGGGAGCTCTCCCATCGACCCCAAGTATTGTTGATGTAGGGTGCGTGTGCATGTATCTCTATATTATTCTACTAAAGTCATGTATACGTAAACAAGGCCTTTTAATCTTGTATTACATGGTTTATTTCTTTGATCAACAGGTCACATGGCAATCCTGTATTCTTATAACACCTGGGTTTTTTAATATGGTTAGTTTTTGTATATCTATTTATAGCCATAATCATCTACCCACTCACTATGTGATTACTCTCTACTAACACTTCTGAATGATTGTTCCCCGCTCCCACCCAAATCATGTCCTTTTTTATATCCTTTGACATACTTTATCTTCTCCCATTTCCCCTCTTGCTTTTCCTATATATCCAACTGTCCATTTTTCTCTCTCTTGTCTCCTTACCAATAAGTATAGGGTCCTTCATTTTATCATCACTCTACTTCTCCCCTTATTAAATCTCTCATTGTCCTGTTCAATTTCTCACCCCGCCTCATGTTTTTCCATCTCATAGAAAGTTGACAGACCTCCAGCAATATTTTGTATTTTTTACTTTTGACTCTCCATGATGGGAAATGATGTATGTGCCTGGAGGGATGCCGTAGGATGTTTCTATTGTAAATCATCGTGTATACCAAGTCACCTTAGTTTTTATTCATAACTACTTCAAAGGTTTTAAATCATTTTTCTCCCATTTCAGATCTCCACCAGGTCTGTTTTTTTATTACTGCAGTTGTCCCATTACATGCTCAACCCATTTAATTCAGCTATAATTATTTTGTTTTTAGCTGGTGATATACACCCAAATCCAGGGCCCAATCCCGATAGCAGTTCTACAATCAGTGCTCTTAGCATAGTCCATTTAAACATTCGGAGCTTACAAAATAAAGTTAAATAGTTCTGTACTATAACAGAGGATGTTGACATCCTATGCTTAACTGAAACACATTTAGATAATTCTATATCAAATTCCGAACCCGCCATTGATGGCTTCTCTGAACCGTTTCGCAAAGGTAGAAATATGTTTGGCGGGGGTGTTGCAAATTATATCTCTGAATTTTTCTTTGCTAAGCGAAGAACTGACTTGGAAATCGGAAATGATGAAACTGTTTGGTCACAGATCAAATTTAAAGATTCACTTTATTTAGTTTGTAATATTTATAGACCCCCCTCCCTTAATAATACTGTTCTATGGCACCATCTGCGTCATTCGAAGATATTGCATTTGAAGAAACTCCAAATTTAATAAGCACAGGTGACTTGAATGTAGACTTTCTCAAAACTATTAGAGGCGATCTTCGTGTTATTCTCTCTTATTATAAGTTAACAGATGTATTAACAGAACCTACAAGACAAACCGATAACTCATCTTCACTTCTTGATCCTATTATTGTAAGCGATACTGTAAATGTAACTTTTTCTGATGTTATTGAAAT